ATGGGATGGGATGGGATGGGATGGGATGGGATGGGATGGGATGGGATGGGATGGGATAGAGCAGAGCAGAGCAGAACAGAACAGAATAGAATTTATCTCTGGTGCATAGGCTCTCAGTGTACATTCAAGCAACAATTGATAAATCCTAATTACAATCATAAAATACATTCATCATAAATCATAAGATACAACACTCATTGATAGTCAAAGGATGCTAAATAAGCAATCAACATGAATCATACTAGGATACTAAATAAAAATTAATATAAATAAGATACAAGGAACAAATTTATAGTCATAAGAAGATAAGGAATAGATATTAGGAAAAATAGGAAGGATAATAGTAATGTTGTCCTACTAGTAATTTAATAGTGTTGTGGGAATTAGTTGTTTAGCAGAACGATGGCATGGAGGAAAAAACTGTCCTTGTGTCTAGTTGTTCTGGTGTGAATAAATGAACGAATGAATAAATGAATCAATCAATCAGTAAATGATGCTTTTTAAAACTGATGCAAATTCAGTTTATATTATTCTCGAAGGTTCCAAGGCTCTTAATGCAACTCATTCCAAACTCACAAATGAAGGCAAATATATGTGTCCCAGGATAATGTTGCGGGATCCAATCTGGGTCAGTCATTGGGACCAGAGGTTTAGTCTTCTGAGCTTTCAGACTTGTACAGGAGCCCATCCTCAGGGAACTTTTCTCTACCAGAATATGTGCTTCGGGTTATTTTATGTGATGCCTGGTTGTGTGTGGTTTTTTCTTTGTTGATTGGGGTGTTGATAGCCGGCTATTAAGCTGCTGGCTGTTGTTTCCTTGTGCTGCTAATTCCTCAGCTCCTAAGTACCTAATAAACTGATGGTAAATCAGCACTCCCGTTAACTGACAAGGGACCTGTTTCCCAGGCTTCAATAATTCCTCTGGCTATTTTTGTATCTGCTCAGCCAACAATCTTAGTAGCTGCAAAATTGAATGATATCCTTGTTCATTGAAATGTGATGCTACTGACCACTCCCTTGTGTTCTTGAAATCTCGTGGTTAGCTTCCTCCCCATCTTTCCTGCATAGTCACAGGGGCTTGGAAGACTAAACCTCCAGATTGAATCCTGCAACATTCCAAACTACTGGGAAGAAAATCTAGTCCACCCCAGCCTGGCCCACCCCAGCCCCAGCCCTCAACCCCCAGTCCAGTGTTTTACTCACCTGTCTTTGGCAAACGTAGACCCTTCCTCCTGCAATGCCATCGTAGTACATAGGTGCACCAATGAGGATCAAGTCAGTATTCCTGTCTCTGTCCAAGTCCACAGCACACAGGGTAGCCCCAAAATATGAGCCAATCTGGGGGGACTTTAAAATTTTCATTTTAAACAATATTTTCCTAGGATTCCCCAAATTTGACCAGTTTCCCTGCCTGATGCCCTCTCCCTTTTTTTCTTTATCCACTGTGTGTCCCAGAAAAGTCTCCATTGACAGAGACAGAAAGGAAAGCAGCTTTGCCATGATCATCAGCATCATCTTCTAATAACCCCATAATCCCTTGCAGGATAGAGTCTAGGCAACTGAATGGAACTAGCAGAGGGTTTAATGACCGGATACCCTTCCAGTCACCAATACGGAGTTTTGTCCAGCAGACCTATTCTCATTGTGCCCAGAGAGAAATATCTGCCTCTAACCTAGATTGAACTCACAGCCTTCTGATTATGAGGCGAGAGCTCCACCTCTAGGCTGTATCTCTGATAGGTTTCCACCTGTTAATTCTTGTCTTGCCCTCCAGTGCTTTGGAGAAAAGGTTGTCCCCCTCTTCTTTCTGGAAGGTTGCTATGAGGAGAGAAGTGTTCTTCTCTTGGTTGATGGACCATACGCCCAATCCAAATATACCTACAAGCTAAATCCTTCCTGCAGGTCATCAGAAGGCCATTTACCTGCTTTAAAGAGAGCTCTGACTTCTGCGTCCACTGTCCTCTCCTTTGGCTGAACCAGACCACCTTGCCCACGTGTTGATAACGTGGGGCTCCCACGACGAAGCTGCTCTGTCCGTTGACTTGAACTTCCTGAATTGAATAACCTGGTGAGGACGCAGGAATGAACAAGGAAGAGGAGGAAACAAAGACACACAACTTACTTAAAATTTTTATGAATGGCATTCTCAACTAACAAGGATAATGCAGGTGCTTCTGGGGTATACTTAGTCCAAGATTAAAACCAGCCATAAGCAACTGTTCATGGTAGTAAAAAACAGTGCCTATATCATCTTTTCTTACATTCTCAAATTACATTTTTAAATAATATTTTTATTATTTAAGTTTCAGCATTGTGCATCAGAAGAGACTACTACAACCACATAGAATCAGTGTAGAACACAAGCCAACTTAAGCCGTTCAAAATATCCTAAGCACACCAAAAGACCCAGCAACCCCAGAAGAAAAAAACAGGAGTCATCTACAATAGGGGTCACCAACCTTTTGGACCTCAGGGACCACCAAACTCATAATTTTAAATCCCATGGATCACTAATATGAATTTTGACTGATGGTGGCTTGCTGACATTTTCCCAGGGTCTCTGCAGAAAGCAGCAGAGACCCTGGGAAAATCCTCAAAAAAGTCTGCAGGAAAATTCCCCATCCTGTTTTCCTACTAATCGATCATTTCTTATTTGGGATCGCAGGATACCATCTCCAGCTCCATTCTTGGGGGTGGTGGGGGGTGGCAGGGAGAGAGAGAGAGAGAGAGAGAGAGACTTTTGGCTTCATGCAAGGAAAGCAGCTGGAGCAGCAAAGTCTTTCTTTCTTTCCCCCAAACTCCTCCATAAATGAGTCTTTGGAGACTTGTCATGCTGGCGCAGCCTCTTGGAGCAGGAGGCCTTGCAGGGTCCCAAGGACTCATTCCTGGTGGAGTTTGAGGGAGAAAAAGAAAGACTTTTGCTGCTTTCCTTGCGTGCAGCCAAAAGCAGAAGAAAGAAGAGAAAGAAGCAGCCCCGTGGCCAGACCAGGCACATGGGGTGTGTGGGGCAAGTTCCCCCCTCCGCCCTTTTCCCCGCTCCCCTCACTATCTTAAGTTGTTCACAATGCAAGTGACACAAGCCTTCTGTTCCCATGGGCCATGTGGGTGGCGCAGCCTTGTGTTCCTGCACAGCCTGGATTAATTGCTTTGGAGGTGACATTTCCCTGCGGACCACCAAAATTTTCTCACGGACCACCAGTGGTCCTTGGCCCACTGGTTGGTGACCACTGATCTACAACATACAGGGTAACAACTGCAACAACCACTACATTGGACAAACAGGCAGAAGACTGGCAGAATGCATCCAGGAACGCCAACTGGCAGTCAGAAGAAATGACTAAAATTCTTTAATTTCACAAGATGTAGACAGATTTAACCATAGTTTCATGTGACAATCCTAGACCAGGCCAAGTCCAAAAATGCCAGGGAATTTCTAGAAGCCTAGAACTCTGACAACTCAGCCATCAATAGACACATAGACATTAACAACATCTACAGACTATGCAAAAGAGACAGCTCCAGACTACAGCACTTCTCCACCAATAATCGGCACCCAGATCAGCATAGATTAACTCCAAGGTCAACCTCAGAACAACAACCAAGTAAACAATATCCCAATCAAGAAACTGCCAAAGAGTAAACAGCCCAACCAAAGAATCTCCAAGACTTGCTCTTACCCACATAGACTAGGCAGGACACCAGAATATAAACTGACAGCACTCAGCACTCCTTACTACACTGATAATGTTACCTAGTTGGGTAGTGAACCATCTGCAAGAAAACTCAGAAAGCAACAAGGACCCTTCATTGATTAAATTGTACCCTTCTCGTTACTGTATGGCAAGAGGATCAAGTTGGCCATGAACACAGTGCACACTTGCTTCCACACTCCTATGATCAGCTACTCAAGTTCTCCTTTTAAAAATATATTGGAGACACCATTTTTGCAGAGGTTTGCCAGCTTAAGTTATTTATTAAAAAATATTAAAGGTGGGATGCAAATATATGAATAAATAAATTTTGCAGTCTGCCCAGCCTTTCCACCCAGAATGGATCTAGAGCGATTGTTTGCATGTGGCTCTTACCAAGATAAGCAGATTTCAAATCATTTGTGGAGCTGGAGGTATTAATAAAAGCCGCATCACCCTGGCTGTTGAAAAGGAAGAGTCCTCCAGCCCAATCATAGGCTCCAACAGCCCCCAGTATGGAGCCACTCTAAAAAGAAACAGCAAAGCAGAGATGTTAATCAACTGAAAGAAAACCAATCCTTCAGAAAGTCTTCCTCCTTTCGTAGAATACTAAGACATTTCAATTTTTCTTTTCTACAGCCCACCTGTAATATCCATATCTGGGACAAATCAAACATTCAAAAAAAACCTTACCCTTAATTAGCTAAAGCAAGGTACCTCTGTGAAAATCAGGAACCCCAAGAAGTCTAATTCTGAACACTTTCCTTCCAGACATTGAAGTCCACAAAGATTAAGGCCTCTACCAATGATTTGTCCAAGGAAGCCCACTAATCTCCATTTCCACAGGCCTTTAATTCTGAATTGTTTTCCTCTCTATTTTATGTTTCTATCTAAGTCTGACCTGCTACTTATTGACATCTAATTTGCACGGGAGAACCTGAGATGAAGGGGACTAACCTGGGTGTGTAAGGCACTGAATCCTTCCTGAGACAACTCTAACTCGAAGGACTGAGAGATGTTGCCGGTGTTCTGGGACTGAGTACCTGCAGAAGGAAGTTGGAAAGACAGACAAAGTTTAGGCCCTGGGATGCTTTACTGGATCAGAGGGTGAGCCATGCTGGGATAGGAGAGGTTCCAATGGAGCAGAAGAGGGCATGAAAGAAATGAAAGAAATATCGAGCAAGTCTCTTGGTGAAATATAATGGCTTTGGGAAGGTAATGCTGTTGGAGCAATGGCAAGCCAAGCAGATGGATAGTCTGCCAACTTAGTTCTGTTCCATTGATTTCAATGGAGGTTTATTCAAAATATAGATAAATCTGGATATAGGTTACATTTCCAACTGACAAAATAAAGAATAGGTGGATGGATAGATAGATTGATGAATAGAATAGAATGGAATAGAATGGAATGGAATAGGAATAGGAATAGGAATAGGAATAGGAATAGGAATAGGAATAGAATAACAGAGTTGGATAGGTAGATGGATGCTAGAGATAGGTGGGTGGATGGATGGATGGACGGACTGACGGACGGACGGATAGACAGACAGACAGACAGACAGACAGACAGACAGACAGACAGACAGACAGGTCTATGTCCCTACCTATCAATAGACCTATGCTCCTCCTTATCCTGGTACTCCTCAACTTATGACCACAAATGAGGCTGGAATTTTAGTTGCATTGGGGGTCAACAAATGAGATGCCCATATGACCACTTTGCTCAATGACTGCAATGCTGGTGTTCTCATTTGCAGTTGTTAAGTGACTGCATGGACTGTTAAGTTGAGGGACTGAAAAACTGAAAGGATGGCAGTCCCCATCTATATGCATAAGGGAACTCCCATCGTTGGCTAGATAAATGATCCCAGCTTCATTTCACTATCCCACCACAGGAGTTCCCTCCCCCTTCATGTGCAGAAGGGAACACCAGCATTGGGTCAGAGAAACAAAGCTAGGATCTTAGCTTTGTTTCTCCAGCCCATCATAGGAATCTTCCGGCCATGCACTAAGGCAAGAAGAAATCCTTTGGTGAGTGGCAGCATCCTGCAAGTTTTCCCGCTGGCTTCCCCATTGACTTTCTGGGGAAGTTGTCAGAGAAGATTGTGAATGATGATCACGTGATTGTGCAGTTATGACTTTGAGGACTGGCCGTTAAGTAATTTTTTCTTTGTAACTTTGAATGATTGTTAAGTGACTGGTCATAAATTGAGGAGCACCTCTACTGCTGAAAGTTAGTCACAAAAGTCAGTCCTGAATGACCCTCATGGCAGCTGGATACAGAATCTAACAGTCATATCATGTCTCTCTCACTACTAGGGAGACAATCCATCAATTATCTATGATACTGAGTTCTGACTGCCAGTTTGAGCCCCAGATCCTAGCATTATTTCTAGGCAAACCATCAGATGTTATACCTTCTATGGCAAAAATTTTATTCTGAAGATTGTTCTGGATGTCCTTGAGAGCATCAAAATTGTTCACGGAGAAAACATAGTCCACAGATGGGTTGGAGGCAATAGCAACGAGTTCTTCATGAGCAGATCCGTATGCAAAACTAAACCCAACCTTGATGGCATGCCAGAAATGGCAAGGGGAGATAAAAACAGAGACTGAATTGAGAAGACCATTGTTACTATGCTCACAGTAAGGATTCTGTATGTTAGCCTTCCTTCCCTGCATTTTGAAGAGTTGCCTTTGGTTGATAGAGTGAGAGAGAATACAATTCCCTCTTTACCATCTATTCCTATTGGTTAGCTGTTGCTCTCTATATATTACAACCATCAGAAAAATAGCATGTTCTGGTTTTCTTATAAAGGTAGTCCTTGACTTATTACCATAACAGAGCCCAGATTTTCCATTTTAAGTCATAATGATAACGGCACCCACATGACTAGATAAGATAACCTTTATTGACATTTTTTACTGTGGGCACATTGGCACACATTAAAAATGAAATTTCGTTGCCTGCTTTCAAAAGATGGTATATATCTACCGATATGCATACATAACACACATATACACATACATACATGCATGCATACATGCATACATACATGTATGTATGTATATATATGTATATGTATGTATGTATGTATATATGTGTGTGTGTGTGTGTGTGTTTTCTTAAGTTTTCGCGGGTACTTACATGTATGGTATTCAGCTTTGTTCGGGTATTTTCCCACGTCATTATAGTTGTGCTTTTAAAGTTGTAGCAACGTTTTGGCAGAATCTCATCTGCCATCATCAGGCTTCTGTATTGTGTTCGTCTGTGAGTCAGACTTTTACAGTAAAATATACTTATACTTTATACTGTAAAAGTCTGACTCACAGACGAACACAATACAGAAGCCTGA